GACATCTGGCTCAGGAATGCAGAAATAGCCAAAACAAGGACTGAGTTTGGGAACCTGGGGAGGGTTTTATGATAATGGCCAAATTGTAACATGCATGTAGTGGCTGTATAACAGACTTGTAAAATCATGTGCCATACACAGTTACCAGTTATCACCAGTGTAATCAAGTGCCTGAATAAATTGTCCTTCTTAACACTAAATTGATGTTAAGGAGTCTTATTCAACTAGTTTTCAGTGGATTTGGTGACAATTCAAGCTGAGATTTCCCTTAGCAGAGTCTCAGTTGTCTTTGGTTCCATAAAGCCATTTCTTCACAACACAATATTGCAGAAACAGCTCAAGCTGGTGCCTCTGAGGAGAGACCCCAAAGGTCTCCTGGGCTTTTATCCTCTCACAGCCCAATCAACATGCAAGTCTTCCTCTTGACTCCTCTGTGTCTGTCTCCCAGCATCCATCCACGTGGCTGGCACCACACATTTTCTTGTCCTTTGTTGAACAAAATGTTGGTAGCTCACAGCCTCTTGTCTCTGGCTCAATCTGCAGTTCACAAGCCAAGCTACCTGCAGCAGATTCCTCAACCTTCACATCATAGTGGCTGGTAATCAGAGGAGGGTTTTGTCCTCTTGTCCAGACTCATTGCAGCAGCTGGCTCAGGTCACCAGGCTGCAACAATTCTCTCAGCAAGGTAAGACTCATTCCAATGGGAGTAGGCAGTGAATCTTGACAGAATGCCTAACAAATTATGGGTTGTGACATAAGCAGTAATTGAACTCTCAGCCTATAGTCTTTGTAAAATTACAAATACAGGATTTGAATGATTGTATGTCTCCACAGTGGTGTTGTCTGTAAATACAAAAATCAACAAAGGGTTTGTATACAAAAGCATTCTTTTCCAACATACACTAATACAGCTTCAACAGTTTAATCAGGATGTGTTTCAAAATGACAAGCATTTTGTTCAGTGTCAAGATAAGTGTCTTGTGCAATAATATACATTCCCAAATAAACCTGTGTCGCTCCTGTACAACACATGCATCAACACCCAACCCTTGTGACACCTCCTCCACAGCCATACCAAAGCCCCACCAGCAGTTTTGTGAAGTGAGGGCATCCCATGTCCACTTTTTACTTTATTTAATTCCTTTCTATCAGCATGTAAATCTCAACTATTAATTTCATTAACTCTTATTAAAGCATGTTTTATATCAACACTTCTGTGGACATATATACTGAGTATGTTGTATGTCTTTATATACATATCTATGAAGTGTATCCAGGTATAAATAAAAAATACAGGCATGTTTTTACACATATATATATATATATTTTACTCCCTACATATATATATATATATATATATATATATACAGTCAAGTATGGAGGACACAGAGTATGGCAAATACCAATCACCTCAGAGAAGCTGATCCTATGGGATCAATACCTTACTAAGAGACAAGATGCACGCACAGCTTCCTTCTCACACTCCCCAGAACTGGCCAGCAGTGCTGTTACAGGCTGCAAAGAATTTGAAGAGTAAAGCATGGTTCCAAAGCTTTACCTTTATCCTTACTACCAGCCAGTGTGAACAATTTTAGCTTCTCACTTATGTTTCTCATCCTTTTTTCCCTCACATTTCCTAGCCTTTTCCACCCCATGTTTCCCACCCTTTCTTCTCTCCACTTTTTCCTCCTTTTTTCTCTCACCTTCCCCACCTTTTTCCATCTTGCACTTCCCACCCTCACCTTTCATGCCCTTTTCCTTCAATTTTTCCACCTCACGTTTCCTGCTCTTTTCTCTCTTCCCCCCCCCCTTTCCCCCTCTATTTAAACACTTAAAATATTAGAAAAGGGGGGATTTCCCCTCAATTTAAACTCTTAAAACCAAGGGATAATAGGGATTCACTTACAATTTAAACCTTAAGATGATGAAAATAGGGAGTTTGCCCTCAACTCAAACACATAAAATGACATCATAAGGGTTCTCCCTTTCCCTTTAAACTAGAAAATAAAAATTCCCCATCAACTGATATCCCTAATTCATGGAAAAGACAGATTTTTCTTCAATTGATAAGACTTAAAATCATGGTGAAGGGAAATGCCCTCCAAATGAAACAGACAATAATGAAAAAGGAAGGTTTCCCCTCAAACGCTTCTTTTTTATGGGGTCACTGGGATGCTCTAGGGAGGGACTAGGATGGGACCAAGGGCATTTGGAAGGGACTGAAGTTACTGGGATAGAACTGGAAAGATGAAATGGAAAAGAGAAAGAGGAGAGATCTTCCCTACACCCCCACACACTGCCCCACCTGCTCAGGTGTGCTGCTCCCTCTCCTGTGCTGCCCAGTGGCACAGGACTTGTCCCTCTGCCCATCCTGGAGCAATGCTCATGGAGCATCCAGGGGTTCCTTCTGCAAATATTGTCCTTTGACAGATTCCTGGAGACTGCCCACTCCAGCAGGTACAAACACCCCTGAAAGCAGCCCTTAGCAGGGCTTGCACCTCCTCATCCTCACTGACCACACCTAGGGCTGCTTCACCCCTCCTCATCCTCACTGACCCCACCTGGGGCTGCTTCACCCCTCCTCATCCTCACTGACCCTACCTGGGGCTGCTTCACCCCTCCTCATCCTCACTGACCCCACCTGGGGCTGCTTCACCCCTCCTCATCCTCACTGACCACACCTGGGGCTGCTTCACCCCTCCTCATCCTCACTGACCACACCTGGGGCTGCTTCACCCCTCCTCATCCTCACTGACCGCACCTGGGGCTGCCCTAGACATTGGTTTACACAGGAATTTCACTAAACCCCACCCTAGTCTCACTTTTGAACAATTGAACAAAACCTTGCTGCTTTCATATTAAATATAAAGCTGAGTAATGTGGAAAAATACGAAGGAAAATAGAAACAGCGGTCACTGCTATGAAGTTCGCCTGGATCGGGCCCGGGCTATGGCATCGGGGAAAACCCGGACTGGCTTTCCCCAGAATATGGAACGGGGGAAAACCCGGACCGGATTTAGCCGGAATACAGCATGGGGTGGGGGGGACACCCGGACTGGATTTCAGCGTAATACGGAATGGGAGAACCTCGGACTGGATTGCGGCTCGATCCCGGAATGGGTGCACAAGATGTGTTTGATCCCTCTCTTTTGTACAGAGATGCACAGCAGATACGACACGCACGTTACATAAACACCACATCGGCGGGAAGGAGCCGTTCCGGGGCGGGTGCACACGGGATGACTCACGCGCGCCGCGGCCCCGCGGGAGGAGAGGAAGTTTAGGCACTGCTGCTTGCCGTAGGTGGGGCCGGGAGCGGAGGCTGCCATGGCGGGGGCCGGCGGCGCGGCGCGGGCCCGGTTCGCAGTGGTGGGCGGCGGCATCGCGGGGGTCACCT